CCGGCGTTGCATTTAATTTAATGTGCCGAGTTTATTTATGAGGGACGTCTGCTAATTACGAGTGCTTTTAATGAGCGGCAGTTAAAAGTCGTAACGAGCTTAATTGCGAGCAGCCTTTCATTAATAATTTTGTGTCTGTCTTACCCGCATGCCACCTCTCGCTTTTCCTCGCCTTCCGCTTGGCTTTCCTTCCTTGCTTTTCCTTGTCTCGTTCTCCACTTTGTGCAAGTTTTTAATGAAGTTTACATTCTGCCTTTGCCGCTCGCTTACCTCGCTCAAAACGTAAAGTTAACTCTTAAGGCCGAGTAAATCACTTAGTTGAGTTACCTTCTCTATAGCACAAAAAAACCGAATGCGGCAAGAAAAACCCATTTTTCAAGCCCCCCAAATGCCAGGCTTCTCTCTTTTCATGCCCAGAAAATCAATTTTCTTGATTGAATGTGGCACATTCTTAATGGCCGTACAATATCTTAGATTGCAGAATTATTTGCAACTAAAAATGACATTTCTGGGCAACACAATTTATTAGTTTATGTTTGGATTTATTGACCAGAAGAAATTTATATTTGTCGAGTCATATATTTTACTGATGGAAATCTTTGCAGTTAGTTGGCCTTTTGGAATGTGATTGTGTGTTTGACTCTCAATTGGGAATGCAAATTGTGCGATAATTGTTGCAAAAATAGATGAAAAATAATCCCCTGCCAAATGTTTGGACTGCTGCCAATTGGCTAAATAAATGTTTGAGCTGCAGGCATCCTGCTGCTAACTCCGGTATCCGGAAAATTGAATTAAAGCTGGCAAAAACTTATTGCGTTAACAACGCTAATTGGCGGCCATTATACCAAGCCGCCTTGGGGCACCTTTCTCTGGCCACTAAATATGTGCTCACTTGTCTAGACATGATTTAGCCAACGGCAGCCGCATATTTCGGACCTGGCCAAATAAATCTGCGTTGGGTTTCAGTCTCGTAAAGTCGGAGTTGGGTTGGGTTTGGGCTTGGGTTTGGGGTGCTTGTGCTTGGGTTAACCAAATAAATGTTCTTCGGGGTCATTGTTCCAATGTGTGTGTGCGTGAGTATGTCTCCCTTCACCCGCCCTTGGCTCCAGCTCTATCTCCGGGCAAACACATGTAAACACAAACGAAAAGACAAAACTTAAACACGTCGAAATCAGCTTAACAAGTCGCTTTCTGTTTGACTTGTGCCTGTTCCTGGATGTGTGCATGGGTGTGTCCTCGTCCTGGTTCTCGCAAAATTAATGCCTCGGCTTAAACAGATTGAATGCGGCCACGGGAGTCAATTGGGATTTAGTCAGAGACAAATGTGATTTTATCCAAAATATGTATAAAAGTGTATGGGTAGTTCATTCGCAGTATTCGAGCACGAGGTGAACGATATCTGTTGGGTGAGAGTACTTTTAGATACACTGGGGGCTTGAGCTATGTAGAACTTTAAGCAACATGTTAATGATCTTTTTTTAAGTAAATATTTAAATCAAATCAATTATCAAATAATAAGTTTTCTAATGGAAAATGTATACTTAAAGTCACATTTAAATTCTAAAAGTCCTTCAATAATCCAAGGATCTTCTGCTTCACTCGTTCTTCAAACATTTCACTACTCAACAAGTGTCCGCCAGCTGTCCTAATGGCATTGATCCTGCACCTGCTGCCATTGGCATTTAAGGTGTTAATGCCATGCGTCAATTTGCCAGCTGCAGAACTCATTAGGGGAGCAGCGGTGCGTTCAATAGACGGCCAATGTGGGTCATCTGCTGCTTAGTGCATTCACCGCACTGCCCTAATCACACCCTGAGCTGCAGATACGGATACACCCACGACGCACAAGTACGAGCACACGCGCATTTTCGCACACACACCCGCCCAGTCGGACATTTGCATGCAGTGAAAAGTTTCTTCTGGCGAAAAGTTTTATAGCCCAGCTGTTAACACTTTGATTGCCTGGCAAGTTTTAAAACTGTCGACAGACCAACCGACCGACCGACCCCGAAAACTTGAACCCGCCCGCCTCAATAATACATATGCAAATGCTCTGTGGGAGTGCACATGGCAAATGCTAGCCGAAAGTTTACTCAACTGTAACGCCAATTTATTTTGGAAATCTATACGCTAGAGAGGGCAGAGCACAGGCATGGAGGATGGAGGATATATGCAATAAATTCTAGTTTCTAAGCAGAAATAGTTGAATAATGATTGATATATTATTATATTGTGACATTTATTTTGTAGTTAATGAGGCATATATTTTTGCCTCTGACAAACCAGTCCGGGATATTTATATGTATGAGTAAATAATATTGTATGTATGCTGTACTAACACCCGCAGAATAGGACTAGTTATTAGGGGAACTTTTCTAAAAATGTTATACCTATCTATAGTCTTAGGCCAAACAAGAAAGATTAGCTACTAAAAAAAGAGATCTTTTATTTTCTTAAATTTCTATCTCCTCTTTAAATAAAAACTTTAAGAAATTTCATGAAAATCAACCATTTTTCGCAGCTCGAAAAAGAGCAAAGCCCTTGAGTTTTCCACTTCGATTGAGAGCATCCAACACCTTGATCCGCTTCGCCGCTTAGATAAACACTTGGTAAGTGCATTTAACAATCGACTGCCCTCAATTACACTCCATGGTTCGAAGAGGGGTTTCCTTCGTTCGGTTGTAAAGCTTTAAAGTAGCATTCGATATGCGTTGCATTTCATGGATAAACAGAGCTGGATGCTAGCTGCTGGCTACTGGCTGCTTTGAAAAGTACCAGTAAGTACTTGTGTAAGCATAAGCACGAGACAGGGTTTTGCCAGGTAGTTCTGCTCTGCCATAAATAAATAAGATTAAGCGGGCCACTCGAGTCCAGTGTCTGTGCGAAATGAGTGGAGAGAGTTGGACATTAGAAGGACTCCCTTAATCCGCTAACCCGATGCCGACACCAACGCCCCCGCCTCTGCCGCAAGCAAGCAACAAAACAACAACGTGCCCGGACTTGAGAAACATGAAATAAACATTTTGCCACAATGCGAAGGACACCAAAAACATTTCCGCATGTTGCACAAGTGCAGTGACACTACACGGTGAAATTTTTCGGTTACTTTAGGAGATAACTGATAATTATTCTTAGAGGATTCTTTCAGACAATTTTTAAGGATTGCTAATTATTAGATCTCTCTTGGATACCTTTTCCCAAAAAAGTTTTCAACTTGGAGTAGTCTTTACTTTATAGGCATCACCAGCCGAGTAGATCTAGCTAGGTCTTTTTATATTGACATGGAAAAGCTACCTCAAAATGTATTTCTTAGCTTTATCTCTGCAAGATTTCTTATTCTTTCATTTTAATACTCAAAAAATATCAGGTGTATGATTTTTCTTTGAGTGTAACTCAGCAAAACGAGAAACAGAAGCTGACTGCATTCGAAATCAGCGCTGCATGTGCAAAGTCAGACTTTGTGCAGCGTCTTAAGCAGGTCCTTCCTTCTTCTGCGACTCGTGCTTCTCCGACAGCTTCTCCGGCTGCTCCTCTGGCTGCTTCTTCGACTTCTCCTCCTGCCAGTTGTACTCATAATTCAGGAAGTGTGCAGCGCTTTTTGTCAGGCGTACTTGCTTGCATTTCATAACAAGCTCCACTGCGCGCTCCAGCAGGAGACAGGGCTTAATAAATGTCATAAAAAGTGCCCAAGCGCAGAAAGTTTTTTAAAAATCAAGAGCCAAAAACTCTCAAAGTTAACAATTTAATTTGAAAATTACATTTAATAAAGGAAAGATTGAGCAGAGATAGAGACAGATACGAGTGCAGCGAGGCATTGTCCGCTTTTAATGAGCCTGCAAATAGCCAGATGGCAAAAGAGCGATTCAAATTTGCACATAACATTAATGCAGCTGCAGCGGCGGCAGGCAAACATTTTGATAATTAATATATTAAAATCAGTTGGCCGGTGGTCTGCGGCCTGATGTCTGCTCTTATTGTTGTTTAATTAATCAGCCATTGAGCATACACACACACAGACACAAACACGGAGCGTAAACACGTTCACAATAATTTGTCATTGATTAATTAAAAAATCTCAGTTTCTACCCCCTAAAAGCTGATGCTAAATATTGCTGAATATTCATGAAAAAACTCAATGGGAATATCGAATGCAATTTTCTGTTTAACAAAATGATTATTCATGGATTAAAACTATTGTTGCGGTTGAAGATATATTCACCCACAGAGCTATCAAATGGTTTAAAGGCAAGCCAAAATATGCAAAAGCCGATCAAGGGTATTGGCTTTGTTATTTGCATATGTCAGATGTTGCTTTAGTAATGGGATTTTTGATTAAAAATGATTATATGCCTGTGGTTATGTGCAAGGTTTTAAATATCAAACATTAAACAAGCCTTATCGAAATGTCAAGCTTTCGTTGTTTGTTTCTCTTTAAATTATATGCTTAACAACTGATCTACGTTAAATTGGCAAACTATTAAGCTTAATCACAGATAAAGTCTGTGTTGGTGTATTTAAAATATAATTGACCTACACTCGTGCATTTTCCACTTTAATGAGATTTAAATCATGTCTGTGCATTAACGATTTTGTTGCCTGCTTTCATGGGCACGTTCCAGCCATTTTCATTGTATTTTTTTCTGTATTGTAATAGGGTCTCTCCCTGTCGCCTGCCATTAAACAATTAGCAGGGAATGATGCCCCGAAAAACAGTTGCAATTAGCGGCACGCAAATTGCACTTAATTATATAATAAATTCAATTGACAGCTGCGCTTTTTGTCGCTTCGATTTTATGCATAATTTCTGCATTATTTATGAGTTTAGCCTTATCTATATTTATGCACTTGTTTGCAATTATAATGATACTATTAACGGTATATATTTAATACCTTTGACATTACATCCTTCGTTAACTTTTAATGCTTTGCATGCTTTTTAGTTACCCAACTAATTTTAAAGAAAGTGTAATCTGCAAAGGTTATTATAAAAAACGTAATTCTTGGTGATTCCAGTCTAGATTTTAATATGACTCCCGCGCGCGTATTCGCCTCTTACGTTCTTTGCTATCCAGATAGGCCATTAGAGAGTCTTTGTTGGGCACCGTCATTACCACGGGCAGCAACTGGGTACAGTTGGCCATCACCGAGCGCAGTCGCTTGGCGGCATCATAGTCGAGAATGATGAGGCCCATGTTGGACTTGTGATAGACGGCATTGAAGAACCTCTCCAGCTCCTCTTGCGGTGTTTCTAATTTGTTTGAAATAACGAACCAATTATATAGGGCTCCTGGTTCTTGTTTTTCTTAAGCCAAACTCACCACTATCCACATTCATGTAGTTGCGGAATTTATCGCTATGGTAGCCAATGCCGGCCAATAGAAATCCTAGGGTCACCTCCTATTAGTAAAGGATTTAGAAACAAATTAGTGGTATTGGTAAATTCTACCCACGGCCTCAGCTATAACCGCGATACGCAGAAAACTAGGATCTTCAACCACAACCGGAGCTCGCAGGCTGTCCAAGCTCTCGGTGTCCAATTCACGCATTTCTTCCTGATTTTCAGCCATGTTGTAGACCGTATTCCCGGATAATAAAATAGAATAGAATTTGGAATCTGGGAATTGTAAACGGAAACAAAGTTCCCCCTTACTCTCTCCCTCTGTCTAATGTTGGGGGACAGGAATAGAAATGGTACAGGGACTAACTATTAAATTGAAGCTTTTTTATGTCATAAATAAAATGTTATATATATTTTTTTAATTTTTAAAATTACTTTCTTTTTAATAAACTAAATATAACTGCACTTCTGTGTGTATATCATCCAGTTTGTCGCCGACTAATTGGCTTTTGTGGTTTTATCCGATTGTCTAAATGACGTTAATTGCGATTAAATCTCGACATCTCCATCTCCCCCTTGGGCAATTTACCCCAAGTTGTAATTGAAGATTGCTGCTTACAGATCCTATTTCCCATCCCCTTCTTTTCTTGGCAATCTTTAATTTGCCTCGGGCTGAGCAAGGCACAAAAATGGGGGGAAAGGCAAAATGGCAAACGGAAAATTCAATCAAAAGTGTATACAGCACGGAATTTCATCAGGCATTCCTCGCTCTCTATATCAAAGCAAAAAATAAAAATACAAAAAGGAAGAAACAAATAATACAAATAGATTTTCAATATCTGTATAAATTTATCAGAAAACAAAATCCAGATCTCAGGCAAAGTTTTACCTTCCTGATAAAAAGTTTTCTTTTTTTTTTTTTTTTTTGGAAAAAACTTTATTTGTTATGCACAGATTTCATTTGGATTTGTTTAAAACCGAAACATATTTTCTTGCCAGCCGAGAGAGTGATGCAAATATATGTATATAGTATTCGTATGGAGAATAAGTGGGAGCGGGCGGGACATGCAAATTGGGGTACTGGAAAAGGCTCTGAACAATGGCAAACAGCAGGTAAAACCCGCCGCGCTGCCAGACTGTAGACCAACAAACATTTACATAGATACTTCACTTCGTTTGCATATTTTTTAGCCCCAGCTGATTACGGGGTAGTATGGGGAATATTGAGTAAATTGAAGGGATTACTGCAAAAGGAGATTAGGTAAATTGAAGCTTAAACTTTAAACAAAAAAAAAATAAAAAATTGGGGATGGTGGGTTTTAATAATAATGAATAATTTAATACCGACTTAGGAGTGATTTTAAGGCCGTCAAATTTTTTAATAATTTAACTACTTTCTGTAACACAAAAAGGCTTTTGCAAAAATTAAATTATTTAAAATTTTATTGTTTCAGAATTTTAAAACTTATTTTTTTCTGGTATACCTAAAGTTCCCTTACCTCTTAATAAAAACAGGAAATCATTAATTCGATCAGAAAACCACCTAATGCCCACCTAGAGTCGACAATGTGCCCATTGGAATTTACATGCAAATTTGTTTTGTGCAATTTCCAATGATTTCCCATTCGCTGATAGCTGATGCCTGCTGATACCATTCCGGGGTGTTATGGGATAAGCCCCAAGAGCTGCAGGCTCTTAAATCCAGTGGTCAACTAACTGTCAGCGCACATTACGCATACGCCCCATGTGCCGTGGCAGCAAGATAAATGACGTCAGCGACTGCGTCTTCTATAGAGGTCAGGGCATATTTTGCGCTGTATTTAACAGCTAACCAAGCCGTATTAATTAACTTTTATGATGGGCTCTCGCCAAAGTGGGCCAAAAGAAAGTGGGTTAGAGTGCGTATACGTAATATTTCATTAGGCGGCCATGGCAACCCCAAAACTCATCTCTCGGCACGCAGCCCTTCGTTTCGGATGCTATCTGGGCTCTGCCCTCCTTTGGGGGGCTTCACAAGATTTATTGCCTGCTTGAGAGATAAAGTCATTATGATGGCATTATGAAAAGGGAAAGACAGCAGGCAGGCAGGCAAGCAAGAAGGCAGTCCGCCGTGCGGCATTTAGGAGATATGAATCTTTGATGCATGTAATTGCCCCGGAACACTACCCATATGCGGCGCAGCTTTATCATTGATTTTCCTCCGAGTTCCCATTTATGGTAATTTTTTCCCCCCCTTCAACAACTTGGGCTGGTGTAATTTTATCGCTTGTCTTGCACTAATTAAAATTTCATTAGCCACACTTCGTCAGGCCATATCCATCCATCCATCCATCTATCCAACCATTCATCCCAGGGCGACCCTTTGACTTTTGTGATCCCCCAACGATAAGCATTAATTATGCATGCCAGAAGTCAAGGCGGCTGAATCGCTCAACTGACAGCTGTCACCGCAGACAATCAACCGCGTCCCGTGTCCCGCCCACAAGGCGCACATAATCAATAATTTCCACGGATGCCACACACACTCACACGTGTGAGGAGCACTCATTACACATACATGTATCGCCGAAGGAAGCGGCACCAAACTGCAGCCAAACATTTGACCTGAAACGCCTTTCGTGGGCTGTGTGTGTCCTCGTGTTTTGCCATTTCGCCAACTGAAGTTTTCCGCCTTTCTGGCATTGTCCATTTTGGCAGACTTTCAAAACTGCCAGCATCGAGTAAGTTGCAAAGAAATCATGCCCAACAAACAGACTCGCAGACACAGAGAGACATGGCGCCTACACACAGCGCGACAAAGAAAAAAAAAATGCCGACAAAATGGCGGCGCCGTATCGAAAAGGCAGCGGGTCAGCAGCAGCGCAGACCCACAAAGCCATTTCAAGGTGCACTCTTAAAGTGCCCAAATAGTAGCGCGGACTAAGTGCTTTTGGTGATCAACAATTTGGCTTTATTTTCGGGAATTTTAATGTTAAATTGGGATTGAAAAAATATTATAAATGGGTTACAATAATCGCAGAATATAAAAAAGGTGCGCTAAGGTTTTAACCACATGTCGCTGAAAAAGGTTTTCGATTTTCGTTTGTTACAAGCTGGGACAAACTTTTAAGAAGCACATCTAAGTACAATATGTTTGAATTAAGGATTAAAAACACACATGCACAACTTTAAAGTTAGTTTTGGCAGTTTGGCTTCAATTTGAAATCTATTTTATATTTCCTTCTCCTCATTTCTACTAAGAAATATAAGATAAAACCTTTCTTATAAATCTTTTTTCCTTAAATTTTTGACCGAATTTACATCAAAGTGTATCGAAAGATCTGTGCCTTTTCGCTCGACTCACTTCCTGTTTTTGGCTTTTGCAATTCTTGCCTTCTCTTGGGGCGCTGATTGAATTTCACCGACTGGCTGCCAGCGGCTGCATCGATGCCGCATATGTTGCCAGTTGCTCGCATCGCATCGTGTGGCAAGAAGTTTATTGAAATCGATCGAACCGACTCCAGCTTGGAGCCTCGAAATGAAATAAAGAGAAGGACTCGGCGCCGTGCAGTTGCCATTTGCATATCAAGTGGAGAGCGAGTAACGGAGTGCCAGCGAATTTACCCAGATTTATGTTAATTTATTGAATTTAATTTGATTTTCTCTCACTGTAACGATATATGTTTTCGGTTGTCCGGGAGTGAATCTCGACGGCGAATAAATTCAATCAAGTTTGGCGCATAAATTACACACACCTTTTTGGGCGCCACGTGAAAAAGGTGCGTATCTTAAAGATGCAAGAGGGCAAAGCCAGCCATTGGAATAACAACAATAAGGGGCCTGGCCTGGTCTGGCCCATTTGTTGCCTTCATTTTATGTTTATAATGGCAAAAGTTTTTGAGGGTTACCTTTTTATGTCTGTGATATTTGAAGAGGCCAAAGCCGAACTCCGAGGTCAGGTCATTAAAATACCAGAAGGTTACCCTTAACCTGGCCAGGTCCTTTCCCTCCCTGCTTTGTATTCATTAAGTAATTGAGGGAAAGGTGTGCGTCGGGTTGGTCAGGAGGGTATGGACACAAAGCATCTGCGGTTCTCTGGTGGCATAAATTATTTATATACTAATTTAATTATTATTTAATTTGTCATGAATTTTATTCTCCACTGCCGCTACTTGATGATGATGTTGATGATACTGATGAGTCGAGCGTGCGTTAACTTTATTAGCCTTCCTGCTGGAGGTATTCCTGCAATTTCCGAAGTTCCATTTGCTGCGCAAAGTAGACAATGCCAGATGAAATCACCACATTGAAAAAGAGCCTAAAGTGTCCTGCGATAAAATCCAAATTGAGATAGGTCGGGTTCTTTTTCCTAAACCTGTCGGTTAGAAAGCAAATAGAAACCGGTTGATGGTCGCAAATTGAGACTCCTGAAAGGAACTTTAAGGGAAAACATGTCTTTATTTATACGAACTTTAAAAATATTTGTATAGACTTACCATTATGTCCAATATATCCATTCTCTTAAATGTGTGTCCCTTCCAGGATTTCTCAGCTAGAAAAGCCTTTACTTCTGAGTTATTTTCATCTGTTTTAAAATTCCAGCTTTCTTGCATTAATCTTAAATATTCATTCTGCTGCATGTAAGCTGAAGCCAGGAGCAACATCACCAAAGCCAAGTGCCAGGATAATATAAGCAAAGATTTAATCAGCTGATCCCTGGGATTTGTCAAATTGTCTATATCTTGACCAGCCCAAATGGCTTCGTCTTCCAAGTCATACTGCGTCTTGTGTGTAACTTGATTGGAATCAAAGACACAGTACTGCAAGAAATGATTGAATCTGAAGGCCAACATATACAAGAAGCATATATAACACATTCGAAAATAATAGCCAGCCAAAATATTCAACTTTTTGTGAGAAGGAATAAGAATATTCAGCTGAAACTGATACAACTGTAGGTTTCTGTGCAAACGCAGTTCAATCAGCGATTGCAGCCAGCTGGCATTCATGAGGTGATACAGGATATGCAGCGATATAGTCAGGACAATTATAAGTCGTGGCAAACCCATTATCAAATTTAATAATTGAAGGAGCCCATCCAAGGTGATGATATTCTGTTCATCAACCAGTTTTGGCAAATCATAATAGAGACTTTTTGCACCAAAAACTCCAAGTAAAAGCAGCAGAAAAATGCTGTAAACCAAAACCAGCCAAGAACACTCCAAGTTCAGATGTTTTCCCAGCAAGGACTTTATTTGTTTGTATGTCAATTGGGCTTCATTTACCAAATTCCACAGCTGATTCTTTTTAGCCCAAGACCAGACTAGGCTGAGAAATATAAATATACTGAAGAATCGTTCGCTTCTCAATTCACTGTTCGCAGGTCTGCTTTCTATATTCAGGTCATTAACTAGCTTATTTTCTTTTTCCACTGCATTGCTGAGCAAATTATAAAGAAAGAGTATCAATACTATAAAGATGGCCGTGACAAATCGGCAGCAGTTGGCTTTATGCTGATATAATTTTTGTGATTTATTGAAGCTCAGCTGCAAAAGTCCTAAAACGCTGAAGGCAAAGCGAAATACTTTAACTATTTTAACGATGAAGTGAAAGCGTGCCATTTCGAAATACAACTAAAAGTCCTCGTGAAACGCGGCTCTTACTATATCGAGTGCCCGCCGCAACCGTTAAGTAATTGATAATTAAGTTAATGTAGCACATTTCGCCTGTTTATTATTATTATTCATTCGAATTCATCGTAGAAATAAAAGCGATACAGTTGACTAATTGTTTGGGTCACATTTCCATTGAAATTGTCCTGGGAATCATAGTCGTAGTCATCGATAGTTAAGTTTTTGTGGAAAAGTAAACGAAGACTGAGCAGTAGGAGAAGTTCACGTATGTGAGTTTGCAAACAGATCCTTAGCATAGTCAACGTAAGACGAAACTCCATGTTTTTTAAGCCGAAAGTGGCAAAAACTAGAGGGGTTTTTATTAATTGCAGCGCAGGAAAATTGTTAGAGAACTGTTGAAGCAGAATTTCAATTAGAAATTTGTATAATAAATCAATTAACTTACCATCAATGACACCACATCCTTTTTATATTTGTCCTTTTTACGTCTGCGCATGAAGGTCACACCAAAGGCCTGTGGCAGAGTTCGATGTTGCAATAAACGCCATGATTTCAGAACAAAATAATTTGGATCATCGGCTAATCTCAGATAACTCCCTTGAAATTTCCGATGCTGATTCTGCAGATTGTAAGCAATTACCAAAAATAATGCCACAAGAAGTAAATGCAATGTTATGTGAATCATTTGAACATTCAAATGTTGTCCTGAGCTTTTGAGTATCATGAGCACTTGAATGCCTGGCTTGATCATAAAGCTCAGCACATGAAGGGCAAAGTATCGTGAAACATTGCGATGAACTCTCCAGAGGATTGTCTGTTGCTTAAGCACACCCTGTAATATATACAGTCTATCGCTTCTCATGTCCTGCCTGAGGAACTCGTTCAAGGCCCGATAGATGCAGCCCAGCCATATGAGATAATTGCCAAAGAAAAGCAGTTCCAAGTGATAGATAAATCCCACGCCCGATATGAAAACAGCCTGATAAACCGAATAAATTCGGATTTGCCAGATAATCAGCAGGATAAACATCACTATCAGCATCAAGGTATAAACACACTCCTTGTGAATCTTTACACACAGTCGACTGCCAAGTATGATTTGCATTGATTTTTGGATACCGGCGCACTCATTCAGGAGATTCGTCAGATGTTTCCTTAGAATCAAAAAGTACACATACAGCGGCACATAGAGCATCATCACAAACTGATCAAAAATCCAGCGTTGACTGAAGCATAGATAAAGCCAACTGGCCAATAAATTAACCACCGCCATTATGTGGACATATAGTTGTTCGTCACAAATGAAACGTCGCAATTGCTCTGCATAGCCAACATTATAGAAACCCAAATATAGACCGATCCGTCCAGTCTGATACCACACACAAATTAAGTGGCACAGGCAAAAGCCTCTGGCCGTGGCGTGTTTCTCCATTTTTGGCAATGAACTAAGAGAGAACTATCAATGAGTTTATATCTGTAAGAGAATATAATTTCATGGTTAACTTAATACCACTAACTCGATATAATTACGCGATAACATTGAATTGAATGACTATGGATAATAGCATGAATGATTATTTATAACTGCTGCAAAGGTTAAAGCTTTTTGACTTAATTAAAGGAAAATAAGTAAATAGTAAAAACCGAAAATCGCTTTTTATACAACAGTTGAGAAATTTCTGTTAAACCTTTTCACAATTTCAAGTGAAAAACTGTCTTTATTACAACTTATTGTTTCGCATCAAAGGCTTAATTTATTTAAAACAATTTTTTACATCCATAAATATGAAGAGTATTCCACCATCAATTATTATTCCATTGTTAACGGACCCCTCAAAGCACAAATGCCACCGTGTATGGGCCACATTACTTGGAAAAAAATAGCGACAATCATATTTTATGCTCTGTTTATTTGTGGAGTTGCACTCCGGACCGCTTTAACAGTTGACACTCGGATGGGGATGTGGATGTGGATGAGGATGAGGATGAGGATGTGGATATGGATATGGCTATGAAATGGGTAGAGCACTTAAAATGGCATAAAGCCATAAGAGGTCACCACTCTCCCCGGGTCTCTGTCTGGCCACCGCTATCTCACCGGAGCTCATTCTCTCCCGGTTGGTGGCCATCATCTTGGTCGAAGTTTTTTCCCCACCGACTTTTTCATCGTCACGGCAAATGGTTTTACACGCATGTAACTTCCCCTGCCTGCATATATGTATGAGTGCAGTAGCGCCATGCCCATTTCACATTGCCCCGGTGCAGGGCATGTGCGGTTGCATATAACAATGGCAAAAAGTGCATGTTTTTATTACAAATTGCAATTGTGAAAAATTTTATACATGGCCGCATCGTTGTCCTCGTCGACGCCGCATCGTGTTACATTCCCGGGACCTTCATCCTGTAACCTGCATGGTACGACAAAAAAAAGGAGTGGCCAAACAGTGGCAGGACACTAGGGGTACAGTGAGAACAAAATTTAGGAAAACGTGATAATATTCGTGATAGTTATTGAACATAAAATTAAGTGAAAACTATAAGTATTATAGGGGTGTCAATATAATATCATATAATAAAATAGAGTATTTAAAAAAAAAGTAATAAAATAATATAACATATCAAAATACGATATTTTCAAGATGATTGAACCTTTTCTATCGAATCTGCCAATTTCTGATTTAAAATTTCAAATATTAGATTTTTCAAACAAAATATTTACCTAAATATATGTTTTTTACTCCATTCTGAATACTATCTCCATATTTCTTCAAGTGTCATAAAGGGTTCGGGGAGGACCTAGGTGCTGGAAGCTGTTCCTGTGATAGTGTCGCCAAAAATAAACTGCCACATAAAATTCCTACCGCATATCCTGTCTGTGTCCTTGCCACTTGCCACACGGGCTCCACTTTTTTGCCTGCTGCGTGCGGCATGCATAAAGCAAATGAATTTATTTTTCGACTGCCATTTTTTCAATTTAAATGCTTTTTGCCTTTGGCTAGTTTGAGAGCCATTTCTTACTTTTTTCATTATATTTTCCTTTTTGTTTTAACTTTTTATTGGAATTTTTCTTTTTGATACGCTTTATCCAAATATTTTTTTCGTCGATTTCGGTGAGCTATAAATTTTTGCATATTTTCATTAGTTGTCAGCGCTGCTTTTGATGATTTATGCATGTTTTTGATGCTCTTTCCTTCTCTCATTCTCTCGTTTTGTCGCTCTGTCGCCTTCCTCGTTCCACATGCCCTTTATGCATTTTACAAAAAGAGGCCAGCGATAAAAAAAATAAAATAAAACAAACAAACTTATTAAAAATTTAGTTTAGTAAGGCAAAGTTTTTAAGCTAATGAAAATTTCTGCTGCAGTTGTCTGGAATGTTGAAAGTGGACAGCTGCGCCAATGAAATATCCGTAGAATGGAGAAGCGTATAGATGGGGTGTCCAAGAGAAAAGGAGGCTAAACATTATGTACCAACTTTAGTTGTAATAAAAAATGTGCTAAATTTTACCCAATTAAGTTTTGGACTGGCTTAGGAAATTAGGTTAGCAGCAAAGTTTTTTTATTCCCATCAATATTGGGGAATATTATTAGGAAAAAATTAAATTTAAATCTTTAAATTTTTTAAGGTAAATAATTTCAGTATATTTTATATTTATATATATTTTTGTGTCTTATGAAGGCAGACATCGTAAATTTGTACATAATGAAGAGGTCATCAGATAACTGGCGTCTACTCTTAGGTGTGATGCGACTCCGACAGCAGCTGCTAACGCTCTGATTGTGATGTTTTCCAAACGCCCACATTTCTGAAGGAGAGACCTCCGCCGACTGACGTCTCTAATGATTGTTTGACAAACATGCCCGGCTAACCGTCTGCCCCTTTTCCTCTTTTTCTTCTTTTCTGCTAACTCAACGGCCTGCTCGAAGGTCTTTATTGAATTCCAACGTGGCGCCCGGACTGGGCCTTCATCCTTGGTCCTTGGATATCCGTGCTTGGGCCGACATGTACAGGATTTTAAAAATGCCACATAAAAGCGTTGAACGCTACGACACGAATTCAAAATTGAAATGACAAAGTAAACGGCGAGCAGTAAAGGCGGAGTAGAAAAGTAGGTGCACTAAAAGAAAGATGTTAATTTAATTGGTTTAAAGTTTCTTTCTTACAAAAAGCTCCAACAGTTCAGTGAAGCTATTCACTCATCTTATATTCTTCAGAATAATCACTTGAGAATTATAAGAATATGCAAATATTTCCTAGAAACCATTTCTCAAGATAAAAAAGTAACTTGAATATTTGTTACATTTTGATAACTAATTTTTTTGTAAATACTAGAACATTTCTTAAAGTGTATTATGCCAGGAACGTAGAACGAAGGAGCCGCTTGAGTTTGACAGTTTTGGGTTATGCTGCGATGAACATGGCCGATATGCGCTGCTATGCAAATCTCCCTCGCAAGTGGCAAGTCGAAAGTCAAAAGTGTGGAGAGAGTAAGCAGCGATTGAGACTTGAACAAATTAATCGCCAATCGCCATTCGGTGCCGAGCCGAAAGCCAGGTTTGACCGAGTTTACACACTCCGTCGTTTTATTTTCCGCATTTTTTTTTCTCTGGGCTCGTGTCGCTTCTGCAAAGGTGGGCTTGGGCTGCGGTGAATTCCCAGTTTGCAAATAAATTAGTTTGCTACGTGAGCGACGCAAATCTGAAGTGGGTTTGACAGCGGTTCTCCGCTTCTCGTTTCGTTTCGGGTAAAATTTTTAAATATTTAAGCGTGTGCAACTTATCGATTGGGGACTGACTACAGAGTCCGCTAATTGAAGTGGTTTCAGTGTGTGGCGATGCCATCAATTATCCGCAGCTCAGAATGCTTTTTCATGCTAAAAGCATTTGTCCAGGGTACCCAAGCAAAGGGCAGGTTTACACTGTCCCACAAAAAAACGTTATTATGTCGAATATATGGTAAACAATTGGGAAATAATACCAATCTCAATAGAGATTGTAGTTAAGAATATAATATACAATGTGTTTATATATTTTGTGTTTTTATAATGGATTAGTTATACAGGAAAAATGTTTTGCCCATGTATGCTTTACCTGCAATGTACAACAGAAAGACCTTATAGGTTTCTCTCAGTTGCGAACTAAATTACATAACCAATATTCTTAATTTTGATCACTGTGTAATGCCATCCTCACATTAGAGCTAAGCACTCACCAAATTGTTATTGCCTCCACTCGCATTTTGCTCTTCTGGATTTCGTCCTGGTGTTCTGGTGTCCTGCTGCTGCCTGACTGCCGTCGATGTCGTTAGTTCAATTAGTTGGAAACATGCCGCTGTCAGCGCCGCTGCACAAGCTGCACAATCTACTCTGCGTGTGCCACATTGTCAGATACTTCGATTACCAGAAGATGTTCTGCCACTTGCTGTGCCTTTACAACCTGCGATTCAATGAGGCCACCCAGAAATTCACATTCGGTCACCAGGTTTTCATTTACTGTATGCATTTCTTGACTATTTTGAGTATACTGTGTTACTGCCCTGTTGTTCGCCATTACTTTGTTGATCGCGGTAGTTACTTTATCTACTTTCTGGCCTTCATGTACTATGTAATGTTGAAAAGATCTATGCTCGAGACACTAAATGAAATGGCAAGACTACACTCGGAACTGCAGTCCACGATGGGTATTCTTTTTTGTGTGTCCGTAAAGCGGGCCTTTTGTTGCTCCATTCTGATAGCCATCGAAGTAGTAGCAGTTTTCAACTGGCAACTAACGGCGATTGACAATTTCGAAATGGGAATGTTCACAGCTCCTTGCCTGATTTGCTGGCATTTTCAGCTCTTGCTTCAAGTGAATAGCTACATTTGGCTGCAGTCGATGTATGTGGTCATAAATCAGGTCTTAACTGCTCATCTCAGGTACAAGCAGCGCTGGAAAATGCTTAGAAATGTCCTAAAGATTCACTGCCAGCTGAGAGAAATTCAGCGAGATATATCCCATTATTTCAGTGTGTACATTGCCACGGTGATATTTCTCATATCGTCCTGCTTCTACAGAAGCGTCATCGACGAGGCGGGTTTTGACTGGGAAATGAGTCGTTTGGTTCTGATGAAAGTGGAGCTGTGGCAGGTTAGATACTTGGCAAACATGTTTTTCCTTTTCGGCACCCTGCTGACGGTTGTGTGGGATTATAAAACGGAGAGGGACAAATTCCTTGTTGGTCTGTGGAGGTCTAAAGGCATCAGTCAAAGAGCATTGAAAAGCAGAAAATCAACTCGGTGTTTAAGTCGCTACCATCAGACTATGGATATTGTGGATATGATGGTGAGCATTATTAACCTGTTTTTAATTAAATTAATACATAATTTATTTGCTTTCTAAGCTCTTAACTGGCAATCTACCCTGTGATATGATCCGCTCGGATGTGATTATCATGGAAATAAGAATCAAACAGGACTCAATTTTCAACTTGGAGATCACATCCATCATCAACTACTTTTGCCTGCTGATGCTCACCATGTGCCTTGTACCCCTAGTGGCCTTCTTCAATGGTTTCGAATACTCCTCACAGCAAGAGCTCTTGGTGAACATTACAAATTGGTTAAAAGATCCGTCTCCGATTGGGACATCTAGCGAGAATTTCACCTTGGACTCTTACGTTTTGAGCCTCTCACTAGGGAAATAAAATCAATGAGCCCAAGCTGGATATTGGCCATACTCTCGAGTGATATAATTATGCAAAGCACGTTTTTTGTGTGGGTTGCAGAATCGAAATAAAAAACCGAGCTGAAAGCAAAACCAATAAATCAAAGGAAAAAGGATGCTAACCCATTCATTACACAGCAAACACTCAAATGGGGCGGGGCCCCACTACCACAGCTACTTAACCCCACTCGTTGTCGCTGTGAATACATACAAAAATGTCAAACTGGAAATCTATTAAATCACTCGAGGGGCTAGAGTTGTTCGAGCCTTAATTAGCCCATAGCTGTGCAACGTGGCGTATGATTAACACGCGGCTAATGAACGTCATAGCTCCACAGGCGAAAAAATTACAATAAAATATGGAAATATGGTATCAAAAGTTATACCTTGATACTGTATGATTTTTAGTATAGTTATGTATAATCAAAGTTAATCGTTGAATTATATCGATAAAAAATAAATTTCAAGTTGTGTTTGTCGATAACTTTTAGGAATCTGAGCAAGTGTAACCAACTGGATGTTTTCTGAATAACATTTTCGATAATACATACATAAACTGATATCGATAAAAGTAATTCATTTTTAATATTTATCGATCAAATTTAAATTTCAAGTTGTTTTTATCGATAATTTTATAAAAGACCCACTTTTAAAGGGTTTTGTGCCGTGCATCTACTACTACTGCTCCTGACATCGTTCAGCTGTGAATGATTGAATTAAAATCCATTCGGAGGACCTGGCAAAATCAATGGAATTATGGCTCGTCCACGCCCACTTCAGTTCAGTGCACAGGCGGAAACTATTTCCGTGATTTCTAATTTTCGAACAGAGAGAACAGAGAGAGAGAGTCGAGAGAGTATCGCGACGCCAGTTGACTGGAAAATCTTTCGATTAACTGCATTCGCCGAAGCGGGCCGTGCAACATTAATGAGGCAAACGCCCACCAACGCCCATTAGCAGCCTCATTGTCGCCCACCCAAAACGTACACACACACTCTCACCCAATTCGGACTTAATTGATATGCATGTGTGTGGGGGAGTAGGGTGTATGTACGAAGGGGTGTGTGCGGAGGTGGATTCGGTAAATGCAATTTCCTTGTTGCTGTTGCTGCTGCTGCTGCTATTGCATTCTCTAATGAGTTCGAAATAATTCCATGTTAGGATCCCGGCCTGCTATCTGTCCATCTATATATACCCCATTAAAGCCCCCGAAAATCATTTGATATGCGTCCCAATAAATTGTGTAGTTGGATACGAAAAAAGCCCCAAAAAATAAAAAGAACTAAAGAAGAGAGCGAGGGATATATGGAGGAGAAAAAGCAGAGCTTACGTATTGCAATTTGTGCAAAATGCAAATTTCCTCACTGATGACAGCCGCAATTTTGTGCTCCATTGTTGTTAGTGGCACTCGGGCTATTGCTGTTTGTTGTCGTTGTCGTTGTATTTGTTGTTGTTGTTCATTGTTGTTGTTTGCCAACGTCCATTGTTAAGGACATGAGTGTGGACTTGTGTATATGCGTCCAAACATGTTCACAGGCCAGGATAACTGAGTAGAAACCAAATAATAACAAATTAACTTGAATGGCAATGTTTTGCCTGAAATGTTTTGGATGTTGCAAGCATCCTTTATCATTAGTTGTGTGGGTAACAAACATAATGGCTTTATGACTCGGTTGTGGTTTTATTAACCATTAATTGGTGAGAAAAATTATCATATGAAAATAGTGATAAATATTACAAAATAAATATATAAATCAAATATCTTAGGTCTTCTATATGTAACCAAGAGATAAAGACAAGTCACACGTAAGCACACATTGAGAGATCTTTAAGAACGGTCTTAACGGTCCTTTCAATGACTTGTCTTTTGGGAACTTTTAGTGAGTCAGTTAGTTAAACATCTTATAATTTATCCAAAGAATTAATTCCTAGTGTCTCGCCCCTAATTGTCCCGCATGTCAGACAGCGTCAGGCACATACCAATAAACACAGTACGAGCAGAGACGAGGAGCAGGGGCAGGACGAAGAGACCGAGGCCTGGGCCAAAAGCCAGAGCGTCGGGATCTGAATTCCTGACTAGAAAATGTCTGGCCATCGCCATCGTTGGCCACCGGACAACACAACAATGGCTGACCAGCGTCAGCATTAGGGTTACTCCCCGGATCCGGCCTCGTCTCCCTGTGATTAACAATGATAGGCATTATTTTTGCAAATAAATTCTGCTTTTCGAGGAAGCGAAGGACGAGGTCAAGGCAAAGGCATGTTCTGTTTGTCCAATCGTTGACATTTTTCCATGCTCAAGTTGCACTTTATTGATTTATGGCAGTCAGCGTCAATCATTGGGCCTCTGTGCCTCATGGCACATGGTTGGTCATAATTGCACATTTGCTAAGAGCAACAAGGACACACTCACATACAGAGCCAGAGAGACTCAGGGGCTCTGGCGGAAGCTTTTAAGCAAACAGGATGTGCTGCTGTGTGCATGTGTGTTTGTGCAACAGCTTTCGGGAACAATACTTACAAGTCCGAGAAGTTGAGGCAAAACAATGCATTTGTTATGCAAAGCCTTTGATGTTGTCCTTGGGCCAAAGTGCCGACTGCAGGAAGGGGGAGAGCGCCTGCAGATGTAGATGACAAAATGATTTTGCAGTAAGCGGGGCCGGCAAAACACTTTGCCTTTTTATCGGAAAATGGTCTTCAACTTTGCAACGAGTCCAGTTTTGAGACTGAGGCTTGAGGCCTTGCCAAATGGGTCAACAGTGAAAACAACTTGGCCTGCCGCAGAAACTTTTTGCTGCCAGTGTCGAGAAGTGAGAGAAGGAGAACAAAATAAGAAAGGCGCACCCAACCAAAATAATTAAGGTCCTTCAAACTTATTGACGGTTTTTTGTCAGTCGGCGCGGGTGGGTAAAAATTCCAGAGATAATAATTAGGCCAAGCCGAGACACACAGAAAAAAAAAGAACAAAAGCCAGGAAGTGGCCAAAAGTAAATACCAACACAAAAAAAGACAAAAAAAAAAGGGACGCTAAATAAATATATAATAAAACCCATCTAGGAGGGCTAGAAAAAATTAAAAGAGCGGCAGCTGGAGGCAGACTCCTTCGTAATACCCGGCTAAATTTCTACATAAACGAATGTCGGGCGCACTTAGCAGGCAATTGCGAGATAATTTAATTATGCGCCACTCCTGGCACAAGCAGCAGGCAGTGGCCTCCTCGCCAGGATAACAGGATAATGATAACGAAATAAGCAAACCAAAAGGGCTTACACCACATTCCAGGCCATAAAGAGCCAGCTCGAGGATGGCCCAGATAAAATGTGTTTGTATGTTGGTGTGTGTGCGATGGTAAATTAAATGAAAAATGGCCAACGAACATTACGAAACCCTCTTTGTGTGTGGCTGTGTGTAACAGCCCGATAACAACAATATCGGCGACGGCGGCGACGGTGTGGCTTATACAAATTGCCCCCTTTACCAACTTAATTGCCCAACCGGAAGCCGGCTGCAAACTTGTCGCCGGATGCGATATTCTATATGTTTTGTGTCACCGGTCAGGTACCAGCAGCAGCAGCAGCAGCTGTAACAGAAAAACCATTGCCATGGCAGCATTAAGCATAATTAGCGTACATATAAATTATTCAAGAATTTGCAAAAGGTCAATTGCGGTGGATATAACTACGCAGTGGGGATATACCCGTTAGCTAACCTCTAATTGTCGCTGTCCCGTTGTGCACACATTTTCAATAGCAAAATTCGGTTTTATTTTGATCATGGATTATGCAAAAGTTTTTACTGTCCCAGCTGTCAGTTGTGTGCATGAGCTGTGAATGATGTTTTCTGTGGCGGCGAGTATAATTTCCCGTAGGTTAAACTTTTTTGCCAATATTTAAACTAGTTTTCATGGAGTTGGATAATTCCATGACACTTAATTGTTAAATTTGTTTAAGCAATAAACGTAAATGAACTCGGGATAATAAGCAGTTAACTTTTACGTGATTATTATTTTACAAATTGGAAAATGTAGGACTATTATTAAAACTAATGCTTAAAACCTATGAAAACTCTCTGCTATATCAATTAACCCTCGATTAATTTCATAAATTCTCATTATTACTACTTATTTACCATGGAATATTTTTTACAGCCTAGGTTTAAAGTTTTACTCAAACAATTTTCATTTTTGGAAAACTTGGCAACCCAACACTTTCATTTAAAAAGGCGTCGCCTTAATGGACTGGGCTTGCTGAAATTTTCCATTTTCGGCACTTCAGTGGCAACTTCTCGCTTCCCGCTGGGAGGGACAGAGGGAGCTCCTTAAAAAACACACTCCGCCAATGGGCAATTTGGCTTTAACATTACGGTTAAGCATGCATGTCAAGCACATTGCCACACTGAAAAGTTTGTTGCCCCAGCTGCTGTTGCAGTTGTAGTAGTTGTCGTTGCCGTTGCACTTGCAAATTGCACTTGCACCGGTAGTTGTAGTTGTAGCTGCTGTTGCAGTTGCAGTTGCAACTTGCATGTGTTGGGTCGTATTGGTGTTTGTGTCACCCCCAGGGCGAAACGCCTTGGTGTCCCCGTTTTCGGTTTCTTGTGCAATAATTAAGTGAGTGCCAAGTAGAGTGAAGCGTGTAGCGCCATCGCCGCCGCTCTCATTTTCCCATTTACCGCCAACGTCCTCCTGCAAATTCATGCGTAAACAAAACAAGGAGGAAGGGCTTACTCAAGCGATACGACTAAGGAGTACCTGGTGGTTATCGAAATTGTTAGGAGTTACAGAATGTTGCCTACTTTTATGGGTCCTCAATTTGAGTTTAAAGAGCTTTTATAGAAGCTGAAAATTATATCTTCTTCTGCACATTTTCTATATTATTTTATTTTGTGGGTAGCTTGTTTTCTTTCCAATATTTCAACTAGAAGCTAGTGAAAGCTGCTACTTGACCTACGCTTGGGCACACATCCTGCTCTCTCTGTTTGTTATACGTAAACAGTTTTTGGTTTTTTGGTGTAAATAATCATCTAG